ATTACTCACTTCAAAGTTCCATGGAGAATCGATATCTTGTTTTGTTGATAGGTGGTCAACTCTTAGGATAGAAGAGGCATCCACGGAAAAATACGTCGTTCCACTTCGTCATAACATTGCATGGACTACAGTTGAACAAGATTTTCACCATTTTTGGAATATTGTGCCCAACGAGTTTTTTGCTACTCCAAAATTTGGCTTATCTATTTTCAATTGAAACATTTATCTAAAAAGTGAGTTTAAGTGAAATAAAAAAGTCGTCGTCTTTTGTAAAATGAAAAAATCAAGAACATCGATTAATGAATTTTATTAATTATTCTGTTTCTATATTGTGTCTTCACACTAGCTATACATTTTATGGATGGAGTATTCTTTTCGTCTCATATCATTGTATTCACGTCCAATGAGTCTTTTCCGGCCTACGATTACAAAGCACTCTAGTCATTTCATTATTTCAGAAAAAATGAAACAATTAATTTCGCTATATGTTGATCCTCTGATTATAACATGAACTCAGAGTACAAGGATGTATTTATTCTAGATGATCAAGAGTACAACAAAAACCCCACACAGTAGTCTATTTGACTTCAATCAGAATTTAAAACAAAAAGAGGACAATTAATTTTAACTGAAATGAGGGTCTTGCAGGTCTTTAGAATTATATCATTATTCAAACTCAACGTAGCCTGTAATTTTATATCGTGCGGATCTTGTGGGTCTTTAAAATTTCTATAGTACTATATCACCTCTATAGACACACAAGATTCGCACTTTACACAAGTAAAGAGCATATAGAGTATAGAGTATCATTTACATTCTTGGTTCTAAGGATGGGCTGTGAAGATAAAACTGAGCATGGAAAAGAAGCTGAGGGCACTAGAAGTATTTTGCAAGTGATTCATTACTTCATTTTCTTAAGTGTAAGATGTTTCCCTCATGAGATTTCAAGAAACGCACCGCTATTTTTTAGATCCGTTTAACCGACACCATTTCAGCAAAAAGAGACATGATTTTTTGTTCAAAATTCAGTTTGCAACGAAAAAGACCAAAGACTGAAAATATTGTTTCAAATTGCAGCGGATGTGAATGATCAGTTCCTTCTGTTAAATATTCATATAAGGCTTTGTTTTCCATTTTGAGTAAGCCACATTCAGCAATTACTAAATCGCATTTAATTTTGCAATTTTCAAATTTTGATCAAACATACAAATTAATACAGTTTGTGTGAACATGTTGTGCAATTTAATCTGATTGAACGAAGCAGTCGGAGATAACTGAAAAGAAAACAATTAACAAAAAATGAAATGAGCTTTGCGATAGAAAAACAGTTATACAAATAGAACTCATATTACTATTGATAGGCAGTTCTAGCTGATCACGTATTACCGAAACACTAGATTCAACACGCATACACATATCTATTTAAAAAAGCGCAAACTATTAATCAATAATATATATACTTTTGTTCGTGCCGTATGCAGACTGTTCAGCTAAAATTATTTAATTTTTTGCTTTAACAATACATAGTACTCTCCACTACTGTGTTCGTGCGTTGGTGATGATGACCGTTGTGTATGCAAGAAGACAATAATTATCCTTTCGTTCAAGTGTTATGACGTAACATACAGTTCAAGAATAGATTCAGCCTTTTCTCAAAGTTTCTTTCTTCGAGTAAATAGGAAATTCGAAAACTCTTCTTGTCGTAAAGAAAAATCCGATTAATAGAGTCTACGAAAATTGGCCGCTAATAATTATTCCATAAAAAGATTAGCCAAGAATTTTGTACCAGTAGAATAAGTAATTTGAAACGCACGTCTGTCGTTTGAAAAATAATTGAACCAATAATTTCACCTGACGTTATATAAACATTTACTTCCAGCGGGAAACTAAAACATAAAAATTTTTTTACATAATAGCATAAGTGTGGTTGACTTAATTATGAATCCATACCTAGTATTACTACAATAGTTAAGAAGATTTGTTCATAATTTCTAAACTACTATTCTGTTTTATATCTGCATGTGTAAATCATTTTTCTAAACTATGTGTTTCGTGCCAAATTAGTATATTACCACAATTGATGTCAAGTATATTTTTAGAATTCAGAAATCGAGTTTTTATCTCAAAATACTTTATCACGTTGATCATTAATTTTTTCATCGAACTAATTTATGTTTCGTCTAATTTTCGTTTGGACATTTGTTGCTGTTTCAAATAAGTTTTCTATAGAAAAAAACGGATTCTTCAGATTATGCACAACTTACCTACGTTAAAAATTTTAGAAGGAAACCACGGTTTTCTATGTAAACACAGCAATGTTGTTTCGAGAACCACAGTTAACTGCTGGTGTGTGTGGTGAGATTGCGAATATGAATAGAAAGGAAAAATCCACATTTACAGCCACATCTTTCCCGTATATATAGCACGGAAAAATACAAGCGAACAATCGTCAGATATTTTTCATATTGGTCATTTTCTTTCAGTGTAGCGATTCTATCCCTCACTATGTTTATTGTCAGACAACATAGATGTCATTCTCTTGCTTAAAGAAACAGCACTGCGTCAATGCTATAGCACAATAATTTAGATAATCAAATACAATGCAACCATTTATTAATCAGAATCTCAAATTACTACACTGTTTAATCAGTTTAGACAGGTTAGTATAAACAATCTGCATTTTACCCATGAGAATCATTCTTCCTATCCGTTTCTCTTTACCACTTTGTTTCGTTATACTGTTAGATAAAATCTTTTGAGTTATGTATTATTATTTTGAACAAGAAACTGGTTCAGATGATTATTGAAAATCAATATATCTAAGTAATCCTTTAAATAAATATAATTTACTAACACATTGTATGAAAAAATGTTCTCATACCATATCAAATATGACTTTAAATGATATAAAAACATTAGAAGATGTCTATCAATATTTTTCAACATCTGTTAAAGATACAAATGTACTTGACGATATACAACAATCGTCTGAATTACCGAAAAATGTTCATATACAATTAGATGCTGTTCGCAAGTTCGTTTTTTAATGAACTTGATGTATTTCCAAAACGATCGACAAAAGTTATTGATTTATAGTATAAAAGAAAATATGAATCGTATCTGAGTGGAATAATCATCATGATAGAGTACTTATTTTTCATCTTGCAAAAAAATTAGATAGAAACTCTTTTCCGATCGAAATTAGTTTGTGAATTGAACCATCTTAGACTTTTGTCAATAACACAATTATAATTAGTGAAAATTTTTCATTAGCGACACTGATACTAGTCTAAACGACGAGAGTGTATCGGGCTAACACAAATCATTCTGCACTTTTCTTACTATTATATCAGTCTAATGAATGCCATCGATTCGTTATATCTATCTCTTAATTACTACAGTAGCAATTCAAGGTGCCAGTTTTGTTTCTCTCTCGTCATCTATTAAATTGCTTTTCGTCTTGTATTGTCATTATTATCTCATATGTTAGCATCACATATACTGTAAAAGTAATAGAAAATACAAATACACCTATGATTACTTGCAATGCTCAACAGTTACACTATGGCCATAAGTTCCTGGATGTGTGATACTTCCTCATAAATTCAATAATTTTCCACGAAATTTTTACCAGAGATAGAGCTTAAAAAACTGTGATCGCGAGCATCAACCCGAGCTCTATCGACTGATATAGTATGAAGTTATGATTNTGCCTTTATTGAGCAATAAATGCCCACTGCGCATTCCAGTAACAACTTACGAAACAACCTAAAGATTAAACAAGACCTCTAGTATCTCGAATGTTTTTCATAAAAACTGTGAATATTGATTAATAAGTAAACAGAGCTGAAACTAATGTTTGAATCATAACTCCATACTATATCAGTCGATAGAGCTCGGGTTGGTGCTTGCGATCACAGTTTTTTAAGCTTTATCTCTGGTAAAAATTTCGTGGAAAATTATTGAAGTTATGAGGGAGTATCGCACATCCAGGGACTTATGGCCAGTAGTGTATTTGATTTAGGTTCAATAATATAACTTTAAATCAAAACGAATTGAGAACATGTATTGAGTATAATAAGATGAATTTTATTTAGTAGAATAATCTGATGCATCTTTTATCAAAGCGAGAAACTTGGACATCAACAAAACAAATTGATTTGCAAAGAAAACACTTTCATGATCAACTTTTTGAAACCAAAAAAAACATGTAAAAACTATACAAGATCCAGACCTATCGAGGCCGTGATAAATTCCAACTTCTGCAAATCATTATATTGTGAATGACACAGATCAAGCAATACCACTGCAAGCATCTAGATTAAATGTTGATTAGAGGAAGCTAAAATTCATTTATATACATTCAATTGAAGGATTGCAATTCCTAGTTTGGCATTAGGTTTGATCAAAATATTCACTTTGTTATGGAAAGGATGTAGAAATAATATCTGTTTTTACGGTTGGGTTTGGTTGGGTCATTAATTATTAGCTACAACTTTGACTCATCGTTCAATGCAGCTAGATAGATGTCACAGTTGGTTTTTTCAAGTTTCAAAAAGATCTCAAAGTATAACATTATTATCATCTTTTGTATCTTTCGAACGAAAGATACAACTCTAATTCATGGTTGTGAGTTGTTTAAATCTCAGTGCATTTCCATACCAATACAAAACAGCCCATAATTACTTGTTTTTCATATTGGGATCCACTATTAGGACAAATGCATTGATTTTCGAATTATTTTTTTTTAAAAAACTTTCGTTTTATTTTATCATTTCGTCTCCATTTGTGTGTTTCTGTATTCATTTCTAGTGCACAAAGAAACACGATCAACTGTTTCACAAGTATAATTTCTAATTAAAACTAAATTTTAGAAAAGAAAAAAAGTATCTGTTCATTCATAAGATATTTGTTTGATCGTTAGTTGAATTCATCACTAGTTTTAATTTAGAAATAATTAATACAAAAAAATTATCATAATCAACTAATTAGACTCGTTATTATTTACTTCCTTTTGCATAAATAGAACAAATATTTTCATCGAATCGATGATGATCCATAATATAGACAATATTTTCGACGATTTTTGATCCACCTTGAACATCAGGTTCAATGTGATTTGCATAATCCTCTGGATCATTAAAGATTGTTTTAAGATCAATCACAGGAATTCCAAGCTATCAAAAAAACAATTAAATCCGAAACTTGATTATATTGGTTTGCGCATACTTTAGTTGCTTCTGTGATGATAACATCATTCAGCACTGATAATCCAGTTTCGCACATAAGCTGTTGTTGAGGAATATTAAAATTCGGTTTATACATTGTGCATATTGTTGTAGGAATTTTACAGGCACTTACATGTTTTAACATTTCAATATAATCCTATAAAAATAGACATTACAACAACAATTAACCTTTGTTTTTAAATACTTTTTCAAAGTTTTTTTCAAATTCACTTAATATAATTAATGCTTCACCCACATTCTGAACTGATTCTTGTAAACGTTGCATATAAGAAAGAGCATCATTACCACCTAAAAATATTTCAATATAGATTTTCTGTAAAATCAAATAAATTATATTCTACCAATTGAAATAAATAAATGTGTAGCATCTTGTGGTATTCTTGTTAATTGAGTAGATATATGTGAAATCGAATGTCCATCAACAGCAACTGATGTTGCATTCCAACCTCGTTCTTTGGCTTTAAGTTTAAGTTGATCAATTATAGCAGGATTTCCTTTACCCACATAAAATCTATTGTCAAGTGTACTATCACCAAGTAGAACAAGATGAGGAATAGCAGCTCCCATATTTTTTTTTATTCAAGATATGAATGATAGGATGAATTGATTAAATTGACATAAATATATATTTGTATATATACTCTGTCGATGACTCATCAGTTTGCCACGAAGGCTTTACTTGACGTTCGTCACACATGTCTGATTCATCAGCAAATGAATCATTATTTTTCTTTTTCTTTCTCTCAAATATGAAAATACTAGCGAGAACCCGTGCATACTGCACGGCTGTTTTGTCTTTTAACGCATGATCTCAGACATTTAACTTTTCATCCGGTAAAATACATACAGGCACTCGATATTATGTATATAGATAGATAGCCCTACGACCTCATACTCTCATATAGCACATATTTTTATAGTCCATGTAGCCTTCGGTCTTATAGCCTTACATTCCTTGCAGCCTTATCTCCCTATTGCCTTACTCCCTTCAGGGCCTATAGGTATCACAATATAATAGTCCTTGGGGACCTATAGGCACCACCATAGGATAGTACTTGGAGACCTATGGGTACCCTGATAGAATAGCCCTGGAGGGCTTATGGGTACTCTCTTAGGATAGCCCTTGAGGACCTATGGGTACCCCCATATGATAGCTCTTGAGGATCTATAAGTATCCCATAAAATAGCCCCTAGAGATATCTCCCTTAAAGTCTTATTTGACCTTTGACCCGGCACAGACAGACAGACACTGAGCATTATATATATAGATTATTTCTCTTCATATACACTCAAGGATAGATATGTACGTTGCTCACTTGTTGGTTATCTTTTGCTTTTTCTTGTTTGAATTTTGAATTAAATAAAAATATTCTTTTTCTGATATGAAAAAAAGAGTGTACATGTGGATGTTGATATTCTCTGCACCCAGAAGCCATAGCCTCACACACATCCACACCCTTTATTCATTCATTCATTCATTCATTCATTCATTCATTGATTATCTATTCAGATTGAATAAAAGGACATCATTGTTTTCATCAACAAGCAACGTTCAATAGACTGAATGAGTATGTCTATATAATTGTTGACAATCATAAAACTAGAAAGAATAGACAAGTGCAGATGAACATCGAATGTTCACATGTTCAATTGAATGATTTACCTGATGAAATTCTTATGAGTATTTTGAAAAAAATGTACAATACTGAGGTACTATACTCTTGAATAGATGTGAATCAACGGTTAAACAATAGTGTACGTAATTCAATTTTTACAAGTTATTTGACCTTGCTAAACTGTTGTTCGATTCATTCGATTTATCCGTTTCTAATCAAATGCTTGATCGATTTTGTTTACAAATTTTACTTAAAATTTATGATAAAACCAAATTTTTGAATCTTGAATCATTATCTTTGGATCGTATTCTTCTTTCTACAAACTATCCTAGTTTATATGAATTTGGTTTATATGGTCTTGAAATAGAAAGAGCTAAACATTTTTAAACGAGTAAAATATTTTATTTTGCCATTAATTCTTAAACAAATAAGAAGTATCGAAACCATCAGTACCAGTCATTTAATAATATATTCTATATAGTTAAGTAGATCGTTGAATACTTTATTCATGTTCAATTCTGTTTCTAATGTATATTTGACTATAAATTATGGATAAGAAGAAAATAAGAATATTTGTTTATATTAGAAATAAGATTTTTTGAAAAATATTTATTTTTATTGTGCAGATTTGAAATATTTTAATTTAAACTATTCAATAAAGAAATATCAACATAGAAAGAAATAATAAAAAATTGAAAAAACAAAACAAAAGAATAGATGCCATGGTTTGATCAATATTAAAACTGATTCAATTTTATTTATATTTAGACGAAACTTCTTTAATTCATAGATTCAAAAATCAGATTTTATCGTTTGTTATTGATATTACTAGAAATGAAAAATCAAGTTCAACAAACGATGTGGTTCAACTTGTATTTACACATATTTTTACAATGTTCACGAATTTTAGAGTATTTTTATTTTTGTTCATCTTTAACTTACTCTGAACAATTATCATTTGCCAGGTGATCTCCAACTATGGTCTCTTCAACTCTATTAGAATTGCATGTCTGCTTGACGTGCATCACTGATTATCTTTATTTACTTTATGATCATCATTTCGATCAACTTCGGACACTTTATGTCGACGTTGCTTTCATTTCCTTTTCGATCTTGACAATTGATAATAAGATAAATCATTTTGATTAATATGCAATTTATCTAAACGAATTGATAACATTCTTTTTTCCAAGGAAAACCTACCTAACTTAAGATGTTTTTTGCTCGACTGTGAACATAATACCGATGTTTATGACCAACTAATTGTACTACTTTTACATCGAATGTTGAATTTAGAAAAATTCGATTAGTGTCTTATTGTTGATGTCGATCAAGTAAATAGCTGATGGTAATGACTTAAAAACAAATATTCTAAATTATATGTCATTATTAAACATATTTACATTCAATATTTCTTCAAGCAGTGATCTTGATAATCAAATCGATTTACCATCCAATGAAGGTATTCCATACACATTCAGAGAATTTAAAAATAATCGAATTATTTCTTATATTCATTTTTTTTCAAAAACAAAAGAAGAACAATGTCATATTTTTACATATCCTTATAAATTAAAACACTACCATAATATTACAAATAATTTTTCAAGTGAATTATTTAAGTATGTTCGTGAAATATCATTATATGATGAACGTCCTTTTGAACATGAATCTTTTATTCGAATCCAACAATCATTTCCATCTGTAAAAACATATCTGTAGTTAATGATTAGTGAATCCAAGAATGATAATCAAAATTCGTCAATCATTAAATATTCTCATCTAACTCAGTTTGATCTATTTCAAGCTCACAAAAATTATCTTGCACAATTTTCACTTGATGCAAAAAAAATGTTTACTAAATAATGTTTATCATTATATCGAATATCGACCATTGAAAAAAGTAACACATTATTTTACAAGAGATGCAGCATGAATTAATCATTCGAAAGTCAACATTACACATGGAAATCATATTATTCGATTTCCAAAACATTTCAAAGACTATTTTCGTTGTACATACGTAATTTTATCATGATTATTCTTAATTAGTACACTTCTATGGAATGAATGTGTAAACTTAAAAAGACAATTGTTTTAAATATGTTTGAAAACCATCAAAATCGATGTTTATATATATATTGGAAACATCACACATAATAACATACGATTCATGAAATATTAAAAATAAAGTGCTCTTGGAAGTAAAATAAATGTATTTAGAATGATATCTCTTAGTTCAGTTACTTACTATGATATGCTTTTTCTGATATGGAAAAACATATGCTACTGCTATTAAGATAGAAACAGAAATCTTTTAAAGAACCATAACATTTTGATAGTCTGGAATCTCTCTTTAATAGTGTTTTCCTTGTAATAGGAAAGAAAAAACTATATAATTTTAAATACAAAAGTAAAAGCAATAGAAGAAAAGTATGTTAAGATTCAATTGATTGTAATAGATCACTGAATGATATAGCATGTTGTAGTAAAATAAATTCTTTGTATGTTATATTAACATTCAATTTGTTCTTTGTTTAAACGAAATAAAAATAAATAATTCAGAGTCAGAAAAGCAGAGTTTTTTTTTCTTTCTTTATCAGTAGATTGTACTAATGAAGAACTTCTTTTTGGTGCCTTAGTAGATGTATGTCATGATGCATGTTTTACACTATTACTTTTATGAGAAGTTGTTATCAACATCATTCAGCTAATACTGGCTTTACACGATATCGTTCGAAATTTGCTACACATATAGCTTGAGGATGCTCATAACTAGAATCATGTATGAGTCAACAGTCTTTTTGAAAAATAAAAAGGAAATACATTCTTTTCGTTTAATAAACATAAGATAGTTCAATAAGCGATTCTAAAAGCTCTAAGTCAATTTACATGAATTTCGGTACATCTGATTGTTCATAATAATTCAAATTTTGTTGATATGAATGATCAAAAAAAATTTTCATAACGTTGATAGGATGGATTCATAGACGATCTGATCTAAAACAAATAATAATAAAAAAATAAATTTTTATTTTTTTTTTTATTTCTTCAGAACTGATAAATTTGTTTCAAATAATCCGTCTGCTCCACTGTCTCTTCTATATTAATTTAGATCAATAAGATTAATGCAAATAGGACGATATATCTCTGCTATAAATAGTTTAATAACTACTCAATTAAATAATTGAGCATTCAACGAATGACCATGACTGGAAGTACGAATAAACATTCGATATATTCCTTAAAATAAAAAATAAAAGAAACTGTTTTTCTTAATTAAATAAAATGAAAATCGTTTGTTTTTAGTACAGATTCTTTGAAGTACATCGTTCTCTATTATTAATAGGCTCTGTAAGTATTTAATAAGACATCATGATTTCCTTTCTTACTGATTTTTAATATATTTCGTTAATTCATATTCAGATTGTGCTGTAACGATTCACGACGAAATGTATTTTGCATTAATCTCAACAATCGCTTACCACACCTATTAATCCGTCAGTAAAGACTCACTATTTTCAATTTGCTGTTTATTAATAGCGCACTTTATATAAAAAAAGTTGTTTGCAGCATACACAAGTGGAAAAGAACAATGGAACGATTTCTCGCTGTTCATTTCTGCAATAGACTATTGAATGACTTTTATCAGCGTAAGTTTTTTCTTTAAATTTAACATGTTTTTATAACGACAAGATGTGTTTGTTAAAGATCCTTGGTAATTAAAACATTTCACCAGATCTGTTCGAGCAATCTTATATCAAAGATGTTGCTTGTTCTCTCTTTGATGCGCTTAGTCACATTAAGTATATGAACGGTCATTTTTCTTCATTATCATGATTTATTGCTAAGATACGACCTCTATTGAGTATTAATCTCAACGATCATTTATTAGGATCTTTTTTCTATTGAAAACAAAAAAGCAAACAATGAATTGAAATTAAGAAGAAAAAAAACATTTCAAATTTTAATAAATATGAGTAGTCAACATTTGATTGGTTCATAAACTATCTTTTTTTGTTATTATCATTATTCATACACAAGTTGTTTTTTTTTTTGTTTTCAAACTAATCATACCGAGAATGACAGAGTCTAATTCTGTATCATCCGTCAATGAGGATATAAATTCAACAAATAATACCGAACAGCAAGAAACAACAACAACAACAACAACAACAACAGCTACACCTACAGTTACAAATGGTAATCTGATTTATTTCAATACCTTTAATATTATTTTTTCTTTGTTTCCTCAGATGAATCTAATCAAGAAGTAACTGTTGTACCAACTGAAGATACTACCAATGAAAATGTTATTGATGAAAATAAAACTGAAGAAAAAGAACAAATTCCAGGTTAAACTTCTTCAAATAAATTTAATTTCATTTGTTTTTTTTTTATTTTGTTTTAGAATCATCATCTAATATAAATACAAAAGAATCTGAATCTCAGTCGAAAGAGCCATCAAGTGAACGACAATTTCAAGATGCTGAAAAAGCAACAGAAGATGATGAAGAAGTTTATGATGATAATGATTCCGAATATGAAGATGTCGACGATGAAGAAGATGAAGAAACCGAAGGGAAAAATTCTGCAGAAGTTTCAAATAAAACACCAAATAAAGTATAAAAACAAAACATGTCAACAAATTCATTATGTTCATTTTTTTTTCAGACTGCAACTGAAGAAGATGACGAACGCATCAATATAAAACCTCGTCGTTTACCTAAAAAACGTGATGAAAATGAACATTCAGAAGGTTATGAAGATGATGATAGTCAACATGCACCAAATACTAAAGCAAAATCAACTCGACGAACAGAAAAAGTCTAGAAAAAAAAACTAGAAAATTTTGTCTTTTTTTTAATAATGTTGTTATATTTTTTTAGAAATCAGATAAAAACCTTGATCCACTTGATGATGATAATGATGCTCGAAATCCAGCTTATATTCCACGTAAAGGAAAATTTTATGAACATGATGATCGAACAAATGACGAACCAGAACAAGAAAAACAGTTCGTATTGAAACAACTTTTTTTTTATTCAACAAAAAAAAATTAACCTTTGTTTTTTAAAGAGAACCAATAAGAAATCGAAATCGTCCATATAGAGATTCAGAAGCTAAATGGCAACATGATTTATATTATAATTATGAAGACGAATCAAATGCTCGTCAATCAAATTACAGAGGACAAAGACATGGTCGTTTTAGGTTAGTTTCATTTTCAAAAATTATGAAATCATTGAATATACGAGATACTCGATTAAAATAAATTTCCTTTTTGAATTCAATGTATCGATGTCTGAAATTACCAATCCAAAAATTATAACTTCAAATAGCCTTTTTCTTTGAAAACATAGTCAATATCGAATTTTTATCTCTATGAGACTCGATGTTTCTGAAATATTCATGTAAAAACATCTATCATTTGTAGGATTAGACATCTGTGAGACTATGAGAAAAAGAAGTTGTTGAGATTGAAACTGATACTACGAGAAAAAAATTGTCTCAATTGGAACTAAAAATTATCGTTAGATATTCTATGGTTTTAAGTGATTTTTCGTATTAGTCAGAACATAGTTTAAGAGAGATAATCAAACAAAGTGCTAGTCGTCGATTGAATCAATCAGAAAAAGAATATTGATTTTTTTGGATGTAATACGAATAAAGTCTGAAATAGCTTTCTTGAGACCGGGTCCTGAAAAACTAAAATCGTTAGGATTTGTTATGAAAATTTATATTGCACAAAATGCTTTTAAAAATATTCAAAAATAAATGGTAATAGATTTTAGAAAATTCTATTTCTTCAGAAAAACTGATCCCTGACCTGGAGTATAGCATTGATTCCTGAATATCTTTTTAGCAGGTTTTTAGAGAACAAAAAGTTGCATAAGAGATATAAAACTTGACTTGAAATTCTCTCATTGGGAATTCGGACAGAAGACAAATCGTTATCACATGAAAATTTTAGATTCATCAAAAGAGCGATTTCTTTGATTAAGGTTAACCTCAGAAAACTTGAGTTCATCGACATTATATCATAATGAAATAGATCAATTTGTTGAGTTTTTAATTTTCTATATTTTAGTATAATTTATAAAAAGCTTGAATGATCTGTTGAAACAAAAACGAGCATAATTTTTACTGGGTAATTTTTGCTGCTTTTTTTATCATAAGAATATGATAGTGATAAAAAGTCGATATTGACTGACTTTCCAAACAAAAGACTACTGGAAACTAAAAGATTAGGTTGGATGATTTCAGGCACCGTTGCAATGAATGTACAAAGAAAAATCATTATTTCTTTTGTTATCAAGTGCCTTGTGTACTTAATACTCTTATAACTGCTCTGTTAATTATTTAAACTATTGCTCATTTTCAGACGTGGTGGTGGCGGTGGTGGTGATGATCGAAATCAATTACATTTAAATGATTACATTCCTCCAGCTCAACGAGGACGAGGTGGTGGTGGCTATCGTCAACAACAATATTATGATGAAGGAAATGATTATCGTCAACGACCTCCACCATATGCTAAATCACGTAATGATCGAATGAATAATTTTGAATTTGAAGATTATAATCGTTCATCATCATATAATAATAATCGTGGTCGTGGCAATCGAACTAATTATGTTGAACCACAAACACCACCTCGTAGACAAAGACGTGATTTTGAACAATATCAAACTGAAGAACAACCAATACCACCACGTCGCAGTCAACAACATGCAACGGCGGAACAAACATTTCATCGTGAAAGAAATTTTACTAATACTCAATTTCAACAACAACGTAATGTACCAAAAAATAATAATAATCGTGATGATCAAAAACAATCAACTGAACAAACTCATGAAGTAAGTTCAGATGATAATAAAAACAGAAATCGTAATCAACGTCGAGAGAATAACGAACCACCGCGACGTCAAGTAAAAAATAATCGGAATCAACAGTACCAGCAACAACAAAACGAACCTAGTACTACTGGTTCAAATCTCTCAGCTGAAGCGCCAAGTTTTGAACGTTCGAAACGCTATTCAAATATGCGTAGTAATGCTTCAATTTCTGGCCAACAACACCAACAACAACCACCACTACCAGTTCAACAACCTCAAATACCAATGCAAACTTATCAAGATCAACGGACTGGTTATTATGATCAAAGTATGTCTACATTCATGTTTTTCCATATAATCAAATATCGATTTATTTAGATCATTGGCAACAAGCACCACCTCCAGCTACATATCTTCCACAACAACAGCAAATGATACCAACACAAATGTATCATCCACAACAACCAATTCCCACTCAAGCCTTTTATGTTCCTCCACAATATCAACAAGCTGCACAATATGTTCCTATGAATTATCCACAAGGATCTATACCTCCACAAGTAAGATATAGTGAAAAACAAAATGAAGTTAATTTTGTGAAACACGATCACGTTATAATATGAATGAATTCATTCGTTAGCTATTTGACCTCGAAAAACTAGAGCACATGTATGTACGAATAATGAACTTTCCTAAAACTAATCTTTATATGTTACATACATATATATATATAATTACTCTAGAGACCTTCGTTCAGAGGAGTTATCAGTAAAAAACTAGCGTTAGCGAAATGACACAAAAAGAAGACATTGACTTTTATTTCATGCATTTTTAATTTACAAAAAATTTCAAATTAAGGCGATAATATCTCAATGCAAAATTTTTCCTGATAATGTTTAGATTTTTAGAAAAAATGCTCTTATAAGCGAATAAAAGATTCAAAATCAATTCTAAAAAGTACAAATCCTTCGCCAGTCTTTAGATGATAGTAAGACAAAAGTTCTTGTTTCAAGACTTCGCTGGACATCTACGAAAAACATTTTTGAAGAGAAAGTTTTTGGGAGTTCAACTTTGCTGAAAAAGCGATTATAAGTTTTTCGATGATTTTTTTACCTACAAAACGGGCTATATGTAGGTTTGTAGAGATAGATTTCCTCGATTGAATGGTCTACGTAGTATCAGATTCTACTGCTTACCATTAATGTATGAATAGGTGACGCTATCTTTTGTCGTGTAAACAGGAGGCAGTAAAACCTGATAACACAAACCATTATATAGAGGTACTCTTTCTGTATAAGTATATATATGCCATTCTGTAGTCAAAATCTTATAGCCGCCTTGCACCATAGATATGGTTCGCCCTGTAGAGTATATTCTGAAGTTTTCGGATTTTTTTTTTGTATAGTTAGATTTTTTGCTAATTAAATTTTAACTAATTGTCAACGGACGGAGCGAAAATTTTTATTACAAGATCTTATTCAGAGGAATAATCCTTGTAAAGAAAGAATGGTAGATATGTTCCTTCTTTGCTTGAAATGGCTCATACATGAACTACTTTCTGATTTCATCTTGGGGGGGATAAAGTAAAATGATGATGAAGAGATGTGTCCTAAAATAGATAGAATAAAATAATCTCTATGTGATTAATAACAGCAGCTACGTCGTATTTCACATTTTACCCCCGTCGGTATTATACTAACAGTTTTGTTTTATTTTATAAGCATTTTTATTCGTAGCTTCAAGACAAATGATGCCAATAAATAATCATCTGTTTTTACAAACAATGAAGTATTAGTGAAGAGAATATAATCGAACAAAACAAATCGGAGGGAAATCATCTCTTCGTTAACAAATGTTCGATTTACAATTGTATGTATTTTTATTTTAAAAAAACTTAATTTAATACTTTTTTTCTTTGTTTTTGTTTTATATTGTAGTTCATTATACTTCATATTTAAAAAAAATTATACCCTAAAAGACTATTTTTTTCTGTTTTTTCTTCATTTTCATACATTTTTTTTGTTATGCGTAATTCATATTTCTCTTTTGTTCTCTGATTTAACTCTAAAGGTTTTCATTGTTAAACAATGAAAAAATGCTTAAACAAGAAATTATACTTCTCGCAAGAAAAAGCAACGAATAAAACAAACAAAAAAAAAAGACATTTATTCTGTGTTTTATTTGTCATTTCTTATCTAACGGGTATATGTACATACCCAATTGCTTGTGTGTGTGTGTGCGCGCCTGCGTGTATGTAACACTGTTTTTTTTTGTTTTGTAAGTTCTACACCTGCTTAAAATTGTTTGCCACTGAACTATTTTTTTTGTGAGTGTTTTATTTGCGCCTGCCAATATAGGCCGCTTTATCATTTTTTTTGTTTTTGTTCTGTTAGTTTGTTCTGTTTACATATTCGGGCTTTGCCTATGCGGTGTATGTCTATGTCTTTATTATGATAATCACAGACTATATGACTGGACTTTGTGACTTTTTTTTTTGCTTAATTTGTCTTTGTATTACTCATTTCAAATGGCATTTGCAGTTGGTAACACCATCAATGGTCGATTATCCTATTCCGATAGCAGACTATAGTGATTGTTCTCTCTCCATGATCATTAAGAAAGCATTTTTCTTTATTTTTGGCACAGCAAATAACGACATCATTTAGTTTTGACTGGATATTTTTTCAATTGACACATTGCCATAATTTTAATGTATATTCACGAAGGGTCTCTATCAACAATGAATAGTTCTAATAAAAAAAGTATAATAAATCGTATATCATTAGCCTGTTCTTTCTTTTCTTGACTTCAAAATATATTACATCTGTTGCACTTGAATTCGGCTTTTTTTGCATGCATATACATATATATATATATATAAACAAGTAGGCAAATACAAAGAAGAGATTATTTTTATTTATAAAACAACTTATGAATCTTGCCTTCTAAGGAAATCATGCATATTCTTATATTATTTTGTTTATTTAAAATAATAAGTAAGTACATAAAAAAAAAGTTAATCAATGGAGTTCTATTAAAAAATAGTCGGAGGTGAACATCAACGTCGTTTACTAAAATATTTACTTGATGAAAATAATCATAATCCACTTGAAAGACCTGTTTATAATGATTCTCATAGTTTAATTGTGACAATGAATATGGCTCTTCAACAAATAATTGACTTTGTGAGTGTAATTGTCATACAAATCTATGAATTCATATATTTATTATCAAATAGGATGAAAAAAATGAAATTCTTGCTGTTAGTGGTTGGATAGTTCTTGTATGTCTTTACTAATTTGATAATAATTATTCTTGTTTTTTTAAATATATTCAATCCAGGCATGGCATGATTATAGTTTACAATGGAAACCAGAGGAATTTGGAAATATTCAAACTATTCGTATACCTAGTACACGTGTTTGGACACCAGATATTCTTCTTTATAATAGGTAAAACTAAACAATAAGCAAAAAAACACAAAAGATTTTTTGTTTTTTTTTTTTCTTCAAAAGTGCTGATCTCAATTTTGAAGGTATAATGAAAACAAATTTAATTGTGCAATCGAATGGTAGTATACTTTTTGTCCCACCGGCGATATTTAAATCAATTTGTCCATTTAATATTGCTTCATTTCCGTTTGTAAGTTTTCAAAAAGAAAGATATGCTTTTGTTTATTTATATATATCTTTTCCTTTTTTTGGGACATTCAAAATTGTACATTAAAATTCGGTCCATGGTCTTTTGACGAATCCGGTTAGTAGAAGAAAACAATTAATGGATCATCTCATGTCGTCTATTTTTCATGGCAATATGATTACATCTATGATAATTGAGTGCCAGTTTGTCCATGAAAGAGAATGAGAGTAACAAAAAAAACAAATTGAACTATTTATTTCTAACACACGATAACAAATAATATTCAACTCTGAATGATATTTATTTTTATTGCATGATCACATTTGATAGCTAATTTAAGATTCGATAACTTTCCATTATCTCTCTCATGGAAAAAAGCGAAACAATGGGGTGTCGGTCTCTTTGTAGACTTCTTTTCGTTTTCACATTTGCATTTGCAATTCTTCCTACTTGTGTTGGTGATAAATATGTTCTTTATGTAGACTTTCGCTGAATTGAAATATTTAGGACATACAAAAATTAATGTCATTAGCGCTATAATACCTTATAGAAGATTCGAAAAAATGTTATCTCTCTCTCTATATGCTGATAGTTCAATCAATGCTCTACAATTCTGTAATATTCCATCATTCTTCAGTCTGGATGATAAAATAAGAATTTCGATCAATGTTGTTCATCTCTGATTTAGATGGATAAGGTAAACTTTCACTTGTACATGTGAGTCCATGCTGCACTATATTTAGTTTTGGACGGCTAAGTTCCATCTCTCGGAACACTCGGAAAATGATATGCATGACTTCAAAAATGACAAAAAGAAGTTGAAGACGAGCCACAACCTATCAAACTTGTAATTCAGACCATATCTTTCATGATGACTCTCGCGTTCAGCTGTTTTGACAGACAATGAGGAATAGTCTTTTTAAGTTTATGATGATCGGAGATTATTCGTTGGATACCGCCATGACTCATATCTGTTTGCGTTTATAATTCGTCAATGGTTATACAAGAATCATCTTTAATACGACAATAGATTTGTTCGATTACAGGCGCGCCGAACTGTCCTGATAGGTGAGCACTCCAACAAAAAATATACAATTGTGGAGCACTACTTGAACTATCAGTATATTTATATATGTTGAAAATTCTCTCTAGTCTTCTATAATTATTACAGTGCTACTGATACTACTTTTGGTATGCACTAANACAAATTGAACTATTTATTTCTAACACACGACAACAAATAATATTCAACTCTGAATGATATTTATTTTTATTGCATGATCACATTTGATAGTTAATTTAAGATTCGATAACTTTCTATTATCTCTCTCATGGAAAAAAGTGAAAAAATGGAGTATCGGTCTCTTTGTAGACTTCTTTTCGTTTTCACATTTGCATTTGCGATTCTTCCTACTTGTGTTGTTGATAAATATGTTCTTTATGTAGACTTTCGCTGAATTGAAATATTTAGGACATACCAAAATTAATGTCATTAGAGCTATAATACCTTATAGAAGATTCGAAAAAATGTTATCTCTCTCTATATATGCTGATAGTTCAATCAATGCTCTACAATTCTGTAATATTCCATCATTCTTCAGTCTGAATGATAAAATAAGAATTTCGATCAATGTTGTTCATCTCTGATTTAGATGGATAAGGTAAACTTTCACTTGTACATGTGAGTCCATGATGCACTATATTTAGTTTCGGACGGCTAAGCTCCATCTCTCGGAACACTCGGAAAATGATATTCATGACTTCAAAAATGACAAAAAGAAGTTGAAGACGAACCACAACCTATCAAACTTGTAATTCAGATCATATCTTTCATGATGACTCTCGCGTTCAGCTGTTTTGACAGACAATGAGGAATAGTCTTTTTAAGTTTATGATGATCGGAGATTATTCGTTGGATACCGCCATGACTCATATCTATTTGCGTTTATAATTCGTCAATGGTTATACAAGAATCATCTTTAATACGGCAATAGATTTGTTCGATTACAGGTGCGCCGAGCTGTCCTGATAGGTGAGCACTCCAACAAAAAATATACAATTGTGGAGCACTACTTGAACTATCAGTATATTTATATATGTTGAGAATTCTCTCTAGTCTTCTATAATTATTACAGTGCTACTGATACTACTTTTGGTATGCACTAAACATATGAGAATGAGAAGAAAACTGAGTGTTTAATTCGTTTTTTAAGCCCTTTCTTCTTGGAATTTTTTTTTTATACTAACTTCACATATATTCCAATGTTGAGAAGTATGTATCAATTAGGTATCACTTAGGGCATGACTAGGATAAGACAATGCAATGAATGGTACGGATTGAGGCATGGTTAAAGCGGCTCGTTCTATAATGGAGGTGTACAAGAGACAAAACGAGAATGATTGAAAAATAGATCATAAATTTCTATTGATTACTATTTTTTATCTAATAGGTATTAATCTAACAACTGATCATAGTGAAGGTCAATTAGATGCATATGTTCAAAGTGGTGAATGGGATTTAGAGGGTACAGAAGAAAAGAAATTGTTGTCATTAATATATAATTTTTGTTTTATAGCTTTTATTGTTGTACGAAAAGCTGTTGTTTACGAATGTTGTCCAACAGTATATCCATTTGTTTTATTTACAATTCGAATTCGTCGACGTACTCTTTATTATGTAGTTAATGTAGTTGGTAAAAAAAAGAAAAATAAATATTTTTTTTAATTTCAATTTCATATGATTATTAGTTTTGTTTTTAATCTAGTTCCATGTGTTTTGATTAGTTTTATGACTGTACTTGGATTTCTTTTACCACCAGATAGCGGTGAAAAATTAACTTTACGTAAGAGAATAATAATTAATGTTTATAAAGAAATAATTTTGTTTGTTTATTTTCTTTTCTTTCAAATAATAGAAATTACAATTCTTCTTTCAATTGTTATGTTTAGTTTATTAATTGCAGGAATTATACCAGCTAGTTCAACAGCGTTACCAACTATTGTAATGTATTTTACAACAGTTATGTGTATGTGTTCAATGTCCGTTGTTGCTACTGTTTTTGTACTTGTTCTTCATCATAGAAATGCAAAAAATCATACAATGCCAATGTGGGTAAGAAGTTTATTAATGATAATTGATTGTTACACATGAAAATAGATCATTGAAAAATGATGAAACTTTCAAATGAGTATTATCTTTCAAAGTATTATTAAACATGTAAAGTTTTAAAAGGCAGTTAGTTAATAGTCTTAAGAAATAAATATGATGAACTCTTCTTTATCGTTTTTTATTCATAGATGTGATTTTCGAGAGAAGCATTCTAAATTCGTTTAGTGTTTTCTTGCAAGAGTTACAATTGTTTTACCATAGAAAACATATTGGTCTATAAAAGTACAAATCAATTTGTCAGGTCATACATGGTCTTCCTTCTATTAAATTGACTAAAAAAATTTAATTGGAAAGTCTTGGATACATATCCCAATCAATGTAATTTTGATCTCTCAATAAAAAGTAATGGTTGGACCAAAATAGATAGTCGCATTTTGTAAATTATTTTTTTTTTATAAATTTAATACATTTTATTCGAAAACAAAATATGTCACAAGATGCAACGTGACCAGCTCTGCAATTTACAACATAATGATTATTTAATATATGCACATTTAGTTTTCGAAATAGATAGAATTCTGTATGACAAATTTTCGATGCTGTGAACCAGACCGTTCTTTGATACATGACGAATTTCTTTTCTTATTTCACCAATGAATCAAGTGTAGTTTTCAACTTCATTTGACAGTATATGATGGGCGATAGTTTTCGACATATAATAATCTAGAACATTAAGATCGAAACTAGAAATGTTTGGACATTTGTCAGAGCTAGAAGCCATCGAAAAGACAAGCTGTTGAGACAGGGGTGGGTATTACGAGAAAAATTTGTTCCAAACAGAATTAAAGATTATAGTTAAATACTCAATGCTTTTCAACGAATTATCTTATAAATCATATCATAATTCAAAAGAGATGACCCCACAAAGTGCTAGTCATAAATTAAATAAATAAAAAAAAACGCATAATGAAGAACTCTGTTAGATGTAACAAAAATCAATTCTGGAATAGCGTTCTCCCAACCGATACCAGCCAGAATAAAAAATCCTTGGTCCAGTACATCACTAATCGAGACTGTTTGATAGCTACTCAGATAAAAAAATTAGATACAGGATCTTTTAAGATCAGATAAAATCTTACAATAAAAAATCGTAGTCTATTTGACACTAAAGAAATCCTCTTAATATCATGTCGATGATTACTGATGTGTACACGACATGGCATTGTTCTGTTGATAGATGAAATCATCACCTAGTAGGCGTTGACCTTGACAGATTGTGCATGTGGAAGAAGAACTTCAACGTAATTCTCATGTGATAACATTTATAACAAAAAAAATCATTGTATTGCAGATAATTGTAGAGCTTTGCACACTGCATTTTGTTATATGTTCTATTTTTAAATCCTTTATCCTCTGACACTTATTCAGCAGAGTTGATATTGCATCAGATACGAGAATAGATTGCACAGATGCTAATTTTGACCCTAGTATAATTAAATTTGAGTGAAATCATTTTATTGTAAAAATTCAGAATCGATCAAAACTGACTCATTCGTCTTGAATGACATAAACATTAAATGTATTGTTAAGTTCATTTTTTTACGGCTCATTTTGGAGGATGCTATATGGTTAGACATTTATAAAGGCGGCTACTTTCTGCTTGAAATCAGTTCTTTTATTTCTAGGATCATTAGACTTTATTATCTTTCTATAATATGAAATCATCAGTGCTAATTTCGATTGAAAGTCATCCGTTACTATTGTCAAAGTCTCATCCATAAGGAAGATGATAACACAAGCTACAAATTTTTATCTTTGTTCGATAAAATGATATTTAAAAACAGTTGTGGAGTACTTTTTGACTAGCTATGAATTCTAAGAAAGCTTCACGCATGAGGATCATGTCATTTTATCAATTGATATTGAAAACAAGATAACTCTCGAGAAATCACTTTTCATGTTATGTACTACGAATAGATCAAAAAATGATCCAACAGAAGGTAAAGAAATATTAAAAACTTATTAGATAATGAAAAAATAAAATACATAACCTGATGATTCATTATGACCTACCCGGTTATTAGGTAGAAAAGGATACATTATTTTGTATACTGTTGCCCTTTAATAATAAAACCTTGAGAAATATGTTTTTTAAGGTCTTTTTCTTTTTAATGTACTAGATTCACGTATATATCAATCAATATTTAGCATGGTTATTATGTATGAAACGTCCAGGACATGATTTAAGTTGGAAAGCAATTCGTCATCGCCGTTCTCATCAAAATAATTCTATTCATAATCATAAATCACTTTCGACACCATTATTAGAAAATTCATCAAAATCATTATTAGCTAATGTAACAAATATTAATAAACAATCATTTCCACAATCAAATAATCAATTATTAATGCCAGTAATGAATCATGTAGAAAATTCTTCTCATAATCATGATACAAATGATGTATTACTACCTTATGATATGAGTATATATCGTTCTGATCTTCGTATGATAATGTATGAACTTAAATTTCTTGGAGATTATATACGAAAAGAAGAAGAAGATGATGATATATCACAAGATTGGAAATTTTCAGCTATGGTTATTGATCGTTTATGTCTTGTTTTATTTTCTGTAATGACCACAATCTTTAGTTATATCACACTTTTTTCTGCACCAAATTTTTTTAAACTTCGATAAAGATAATATTATTTGTCTGTCATGTTTCTTATCTTTTCTTTATTGTTTATATATATGTTTGCTTTTGTTTTTATATATACAGAACAAAGATTGATGATAAACTTTAACGTAAAAGATTGTCCATGTTCTACTCATAGCATTTTCTTTTTTTTTTTAATACTCCTATGTTAATTGTAATTTTTGTTGAAGAATACTGTGATATTTATTAATAATAGAACGGTGAGTAGAAAAGATGGATTCATCATTCGTCATAAACTTTATATCAATGAATGGTTAATTGCTGATTCATCGTTTAGATGAATGCGAGTTCAATTTCCGCTCAAATCAAGTGTGTTTGTATGGAAAATAGACGAAGAGAAAAAAAAGAATGATTGTTAGTTCTATAGAGTATAGGTTCATTTTTTTCTGAATAACAGTTCAGTCCTAGAAAAGAAATTATGACTATATTGAACGGATGACTAATCAAAGAGAAATAGAGCCAATATCCTTAGGGAATGGCAACAATATGCATATAGTTGCCGACAACTTGAAACGGCTCCATTTATTTTAAGATTATGCGCAGTATTATGCTTTTTAATGAGTCAACCCATTCTATTGTTGCCGTTTGCTCTTGAGTTCAAAATGAAAATGACAAGTCATCTTTGTCACGTCTTCTTCTATTGAAACGCATCATGCCGTTTTCCATTATCTTGATGTTGTTGAACATAAGAGAAGAAAATTTGTTAGTCAACTGACTTTCTCTTTTTTTTTCTCTCCTGTCTTCTTACTCATCATGCACCAATCATTAACGAGAGAAATACTAAAATACAAGGTTATTTTGACGTCACCGTCAGTTAAATAGAGTAGCAAAACAAAAAAAAATGAGAAAAGTAATGAATAGATCATTCATTGTTCCCTACGGCACAAGTCATTTAAGTAAGTTTAGATCTCTATTGACTGATTTGCTCTCAATAAACATTTTGAATTTTCATTTCGCTTTATGGAGATTACTTTATGCTTAATTCTTCGCCAAGATTAATAGAATGATCCACTGCTCTCGATTAACTATGTCTTTAAAATAAATACTATATTTCTTTTTTTTTCTATGTATATCAATAGACATTTGTATAGCGAATGAAATATTAATGAGATGTGCCTCTGAATAGCAACATCACATCTGTTCTTATCAAAAAAAAAAGAAGTAAATTGTCTCTAATGAGTTGAAATCATTGTGAAGAGAGGGTCACACATCATTAGGACGAGAAAAAACAGCGAGATGAATAATCTTGTTATTGTTGCATTGAGTGAACATTATTCTTCAACATCAAATGCAAACATTTTTGTCATCGTTATAACATACATCAAACGATTCTATGGCTTCTATATGCTAATAATATTTTCGATAGAGGTTTTGAGACTAAAAATGTCAATAAAAGATGTGTCTGTATAGAAATAGTAAACGTCGAAAAGAAGAGGAAAAAAAAGAAATTGCGCTTTTACATCTATCGTAAATTATAAATTAAATCACTTAAACATAAAAAAAGAGTGAGTAAGAGAAAAAAAAACTTTCATCATGCATGGATTCAATTTTTAATAATGACTAATGCATATTTGTCTTTGAAATGTTTAGTTGTTTATTGACGTACGCCGTTTTTTTTTTTCTCTCTTTGACTTGATGAAAAGATTACTATGATCATTTTTAATTAGAATTGAATCCTATTTGCTATCATTTGTTTTAGATTCAATGTGATTAATGCCACGCATTATTGATAATCTGGTTCATTTTAACGGTAGAAGTGACGAGGTAAGAAAATAAAAATAAAAATATTTTCTTTCTATATTGATAATGAAACTTAATTTACCTACAACAGAGTTCTACAATGAATCGACAGGTAGGAGAATAATATACATCTCGCTGACTTCAAACTAACCAATTTGTTCTCCCTTACAACTCAATTTTTATATACATATGCGCGTTAAAGTGGAATACATGCCATGCTAAATTATGAGTTTCTTTCTGAATGAGATCACTATCTTCAAAAATAAACTTATTAATTGAATAGAATTTGTCAGCAAATGTCTTGTTTGATTTCCATTGTCAAATGTGTCAATGAAAAGAATATGATCGAATGAAAAGTGTCAACACTTAATTATAGAAGAAGAAAAATGTTTGTTTCTATCATTCAATAACGATATTTAAATGTGCACATTATGAGTGCACAGCTGTTTTTCTTGGCAAATGTATTTTCAGTATATTGATTTTCTTTGTCAAGTAGTACAAATGAGGTCTCTTTTTTCCGGTCAAGATAACAATATTACTTTTGAAACTTCAGATAAAAAAAGAAAATTAACATATACATAACTTAACATAATGAGAATGAATTTAGTTTGGTTTTTAATTGAATGCTTCTTTTTTTTTTTTTTTTATTGACGATTGAATGAAAATATTCTTTATATGTTTGTCAGCTTGAATTTTTATAATTCTGTCTTAGATATTTACATAAAATATGGGTCTGAAAAATTGATAGATGAGATGCGAAGAAAAAGACATTGGTACTGACACTCATCGATTGATTAAATTAGTCATATTCTTCGTTCCGTGTAGATCGATGAATGTGCAGTTGTCCGTGATATTAATTCGATCTCTATATATGAAGAGAATGTTTCTAGAAGGCATTTCATATCTAATAACAATCATATCGTTCATTTAAGCTGAATAAATCAATTTGTCTGAATCGTTCTTTATTAATTAGATAGTAAATAGAAAAAAAATTCGATTCTGAATTCTAAAACCTAACATACAAAAAAAAACCATTAGAATTTGTTTGATTGAATTCTTTGCTTCTAATTAATATTACATTTGAGTATGTAAATTTAATATTTATTCAATATTTAGACAATATCTTCATCAACAAAAATGGGTCTTGTTAATTTACGAGATTTAGTTGAATCATCAGCACATCGATGGTATAAAGATAATGAAAAAGATACGATGAAAGCTAGATGGGGAAAAACTTACAATTGGAAAGAACTTGTCAAAGAAATCGATTGGAGATCATTAAAGTTTGTTTGTTTTTTTTTGTTAAATTTTATTTTTTCTTCAAAAATTTTTTCTGTTTCTGTTTTTTTTTTTTGTTAAATAAAGTACTTCATGATCCAGTTATTTTTACAGATATTGAAAGTCCCGGCACACCAAAAAATCATATATTATTTCGTTCAACATTTCTTAATGATACAAATCGTGAACAAGAATATAATTTAAAAGCAGAACGACGCACAGTATCAACATGTACATTTTCAATATTTGAAGGTTATACAACTGAACAGTGTGTTTCATTGGAATTAGAAGTTCCATTACCTAAATGTGTATTAGAAGCAAGTACAGGTTTTCGTCGAGAATATACACTTGAACAATCAAAAGATAAACAAGTTGAAGAAGAATTAACATGGTCGGTTGAGTCGAATATTAAAGTAAGTTTTCTATTTTCAATAAGAATACTTTCAAGTAGACAAAAAGGACAATTAGTGAAAGATTAGAAATGAAGAAGTCAGTAGACTGAATGAACTAATCAGTCAAGAAGCAGTATAACAGTGAATATATATGAATGAAGTATGATAAGTAACGAGAAACGAATAGAAATAAATGAGTGTGACAAATAGCAATGACTTCACCCAATCTTGACAAATTTTCATTTTTTCTCCAACGAAATTCCAATGTTTTTTATTGTTCACCAATTTCGAAAAAAATGTACCCTACAGAAAGAAATCACAAATATGAGTAAATGAATATATAAAAAGCAAAGAGAGAGAACATAGGTGATGGACAATATCGTCATTTTTAGTTTTTTCTACTCTATAAATATCTCTAAATGTGATGTATGTATTGAGCACAACTCGAGATTTGAAATCTAGTTATGAAAGTAAAGAAATTGATTTCTTTTGTACGACAACAACAACAACAACTCTTTCGTTCAGTTGAGACTTGCTGGAACTCAAATTTATAACGCAGAAACCTGCAAAATCATTTCCGTTTCTCAGATATGACGTATCTGATAGAACTGAAATCTATTCTACAATTAAATCCATCACAGAATAGAATCCCAGGAGGATATCTTTATTTCACAGGCTACAAGTTTGGAAGGAGGCTTGTGTTGAGATTAGTTTGTTCATTAATTAATTGAAATAAGCATATTCCTGCACTTTTCATTGATTTGTGTTCATTTTGTACAAAGTGAATCTCTATTTTCTCCAGAAAAAAACTAATCTTGGAAGTCGGCTTAAAAAGTATTTTACCAATAACTTTTGGCGGGTCATACAAAAAGCAGTGTTCAAAACATAAAGCGTCTTGTAAGATTCGGGATAGTGTTTTGATTAAGTCTTGAGTGTCCTAAACTCACTGAAATAGTCAAATTTGTCTTAATCATTACTAATAAATCGATGAATCAGTAGGTGAAAGAAAATGTTTGTTTTCTTCTCTGGATTACAAAAGAGCAAATATTGACCTTCAGTTGAAGTGATAAAAAGCTTAAAGAACTAGCAATCAGTCAAATTCTCATATTTAAATCAATAAAATGGATGTGAAAATTTTGCGACGAATGTTCTATGTTTTCCTAGACAGAATTATTTTGTTGCATATACCAGAAATTGAGAAATGACAGAAATAAGTATAAGGATAGCAAGATGAGTGATGAATTCATCTGCTATACTATTGGGATTGGCAAGTATCTTCCTCAATAATTTGTTGACAGCTGTTTATTTTTAGCTTTGAACTTTCTCAAAAGATAAAAACCGTGCTACATGTACAGAAATCGAGATTGTAAATGATATATCGAGATATGATCTCATCTTATAACGTGTCTCTTGTATCCTTGATTTATTGGATACACGATTTTATTCATAATATTCAGTATTTTATCTAGATTTTCTCTTCACGGAGTGGCAGCTGAAAATTCTGCCAGAGTGAATACATATTTTTCAGAGCACAGACAAATAGTACATGCTGCAATAATCACAAACTCCAGAAGAACCAATCTGATTTTCACAGAGGTGCTGTTCTCTCGATCCTCGACGCTTGATGTAACACCGCTAATGTCTAACAAGGGAATCTCTTTAGTTGCTCCATTCCAATTTCAATGATTTTTTTTGCTAGCAAATATAAACAACATAATGTTCTAATAAAAACTCTAAAAGAATTTGAGTTCCTATTCAGATTTGACTAAGTAATTATATTTTAAATATGTCTATTTTCTAGAAACATCGGATTTTCGAACTATGTTCTGAAATCTTGTGCATATAGAGAATTCAACTAGACTAATTTCCATAGAAAAATTCATAAGTTTCAAACGAGGTCTCTTCGAGATATGAAGCTTCGAAAAAACAAACTCATGTCATGTGCACTATTCATGGAAGAGAGAAAGTCTTATATCTCAAAGAAATTTTATTTAAAATTTCTAGATTTTTTTATGAAAGTTATTCTAGTTGATTCCTCTATATGTTCCAAGTTTCAGATCAAAATACGAAAATACAAGTGTTCCGAAAATGTGGAGCTTATAGAAAATAGGCATTTTAAAAATTCGATAGCTTAGTCATATCTCAATAGAAATCGAAATCTTTTCAATATTTTTATTACAACACTATTCAGTATATATAAACAAAAAAATCATTGGAACCGGAAGGGGGAAGGAGAGAAGCTCAAAATATTTTCGTAAGCTAATTGATTAATTATTAAAAATTATTTTTGTTTTGATTAGATTCCTTGTATGTCTCAAACTACAGCTGAATTAGTTGTTCAAGAAGATGAATATCGTGGTACATTTGAAATAAAATCTTATTTTTTTGGTGAAATTCGTGTTAAAATTTATAAAGATTCTCAAGAACTTCTCACCTTAGAATTGGGTGATCTTGAAGATTTATTTCCACGTGATAAAGGTTTTCGTAAAGATGCACGTGGACTTTATCGTATAACACATGGTGAATGTAGAGCACGTTTTGGTGTATCACAAAAAGTTGAATTACATGCTAAATCATTACCCGGTACAGATTTATTTATTCGTCAATCACACCAACGAAATGCAGTTGATCAAGACAATGATTCACGTAAGAATAGTTTAAAAGATATTCCATCAATAACAGCTCCTGTTACAACGCGTCGTGAAATTATTAATGGAACAAATACTTGAAAAAAAAAAACAAACAATCGAAATCTTTATCTATTAGCACTGTTTTTTTTTAGTTTGTACATCACTTTACAGAAAAAAAATTAATCTTTTGAATTTATTGATTTTATTACAAAAAGCAACTAACAAAACATTACAACATAGATAGAATTTGATTTTTTTTTTTATTACATAAAATGTTTCGTTATTTTTTCTTCACCAAGGTTCAGATTTATGTATAAACCAAATGACATATTCATCTTTATACTGAAAGAAAAAAAAATCGAAGAATTTAATTATAAAAAAGAAAATATATTTACTTTTATATAACTTTTATTATATTCAATAGGACCACGAAATGGTTCTCGTGATGAATATTCATATATTGCTTCTGTTGGTTTACCTTGATTAAGCATGAATTCAAAAAAAACTCGACTAAATATTAATAATAGATATGATAATAATAGTAATAAAAAAAACAAAAACATCAATAATAACATACGTTCCATGATATGTTGCTTTAGTTATTAAACCATTTTTTGAAGCACGAGTAAATTTACACCAATTAAGTTTTGTTTTCATTTGAGGAATTTTTATTGTTATTCGAACATAACTTTTTGAATAATCTTGATTAACACCTAACGTGAAAAAAAATGACATATATCTATTTGAGTTTTTCTTTCTCTTACTAGCATTAACTCGTTTTATTTGTTCTACATTGAAATTTTCATTTTCTCCATCTTGATCAGATTCAGTTGAATAAATATTAAATACTTTAGCAAAATCCGTCATGATTTTCTGTTTATAAAAAATTAATAAATCACTAATTCAATTCAAATACAACCACAGACAACAGATTAAAACTATAAGTAAACGTCACTATGAAGTTGTTTTTCTGTTGTATGAAAAAAAAATAATAAATAGTAAATTTATAGAAATAATAAATATGAATGAGTAATAGAAAAGACAAGAAATATGAATAACGGTTGTTACTATTAAATATGTTTTTACTAATGAGTCATAGTGCTCAATGGATATGATTTTCTTTAAGAAAACAAATAGAAATACGAAACTGAATATATAAAAATTATTTTAAAATGAAGATATCAATGCAGGTTTTTATCATCTATTGAAATATGTACAATATAGTTTACAATTAAGTGATTACGCAATCTATTCTTCTCATCAAAATATGTGTTCACTATTAGTAAATAAAATCTTTTCCGATGTTCATCGGTGACATCTGTATATGATGTAGAAATAAATGTTTAGTAAAAAAAAACGTCTCTTGCTGTGTAATGAGAAAATCTTCAAATCACATCGTCCTGTTTAACTAAGAAGTGTATGACATGACGCGAACGATCATTAAGAAAACTTATCCAAAATATCTGTTATGATCAGTAAACTACTAAATAGCAATCGAAAGCGCGGAGGGGGAGGGCAAGGCAGAGCTGAGCACATATTCGGTTACACCATTATGCACTACATAGAAAAGCTTGTCAGCGCAGGGTTTTTGAAGTTAAGCAGTGAAAGATGTAAAAGTGAAAATTTTTTCACATACTAAATTTGTTTTCTAAGGACAATCGATCGTTAGAGAAACGATCTGTTTTATTTATTTCTATATTTTGAACAGAAATTTTTTTTCTGACGTTATATTTCTTATTTACTTTGTTGCTACTCGCTCGTCATTTTTCGTTTTTGTAGTCTGCTTTTCTTAATTTCACATTATTATTATTATTTTAAGTTTTGATTTAGTTGACAAGTCATAAGACTTTGTGGAACTTTATTATATTTACAAGAGATCTTAATGCGTTTATTTATCTGTGAAAAAATTAGAAACTGGGTTATTTCGAACATTCACACGTATTTCAGTAGTTTCAATTATAGGGAAGACTAGAGAATATTCTACAACAGTCTAAACCATGTTTCTAATGCAATTCAGCAATATATGTAAGTCCCACAAAATGAGATGATACATATCGACAAAATTTTACACATTTTATCCATACTAAATTAAATGTGATATCATAAACTTTTATATACTCAACTAAGTATATTATAATAAGTCAGCTAAAATTTATTGAATAGAGAGAAATTCATACTTTACTCGATTTGTATACAATCAAACTTAATTGCTACGCTTCAATGGATGATTATTAACGAGTAGAAGTGTCTAAACAGTCTAACTAACCATTTAATGCTATATCTTTAATAGAAATTGAATGATCTAATCAGTATGTTGATTATCAGAATAGGAATATTTTAATTGAATGTCAGAAAAATTTTAGATCCATTCTTACTCACTTACCACGATTGATGAGAATAATATTTGAGATTATATAGTTGGTACGATGATAAAAGCTATCACTAGATCGAAAGTTGTGTTTGTGCAGTCGTAATTCTAGTTGCTAGACTATATAACTTGCATTTTAAATTGTAAGAAAGAAATAGACAAAATGTTCTGGATTCAATCAACTATATAGTAAGTGTAATTTGCCTCGAAATTTGACTTGTGAATTATTTCAGTTCTCAAGAGTCTGTTTGAACAGTTCATTATAATCCAAACGATTACAAATTTCAACTGTCTGTGCGGTTATTTTGAACATAAACTTATCCCTAGAGAAATATGCTGATTGCATCCAATGAGTTTTTTACATTTATATTAATGAAGTTATCTTTTATTCAACTGAATACAATCTCTGTTCATTAGAAATAAATACAAGAGAAACATTCAATTTCGTTATGTATCAGTCCCAATTCGATTGGATGTTAGTCTAGTCGGATACCCGTCCACGAGGGAATCATTTCGGTTGAGTACAAATCCGATTTCAATGATTTTTTCTTCCTATAGATACTACCTAGTGTTCTGATAAAAATCCTAAAAGGATTTAGATTTCTAGGGAGATTTAACAATCGAAATTTTAATATGCCTGTTTTCTAGAACAACCACGTTTTCGGAAAACTCATATTTTCGAATTTTGATCTGAAACTTTGTACACAGACAGGCATCAACTAGACTAATTTCCTTTAAAAAAATTCAGAAGTTTTTCACGAAGTCTCTTCAAGATATGAAGCTTTCAAAGAACACATGTTATATACACTATCCATGAGAGAAGGTCTATGTCTTAAGAGTCTCATATCTCGAAGAGACTTTGTTCAAAGCTTGTGAATTTTTATATGGTAGCTAGTCTAGCTGAATTTTCCATGTACGCAAAGTGTGAGATAGAAGTTTGAAAGTTCGAGTCTTTGAAAATAGAGAAGCGCCAGAAAATAAACAGATTAAAAATATAATAGCTTAGTCAAAAATCAATCCCTTTACAGTTTTTATTAGAATATTATTTAGTATCTACAGGTAAAAAATAATTGAAATCGGAAGAGAACATCTGAAAAGATTCGTTCGTGAAATTGATGTATATCTAATTCAATTTCAGATTAAGTTTTAAATTAAAAAAAGACAATTCGCGTATATAAATTTCTTTTTTCATACTGATCTTGAACTGACTAATAATATAATATTAAAAAATCTTCATTAGTTTTTGTAAATAATAAAATATATTTTATGTATATTTACAATAATATTAGAGGTCACTACGTTCCGATAATTATTATAGATGGCACTCGAATATATTTTAATGTTTCCAAAAATAGAAATTATTTTTTTATGTTCTTAAAAACATAAAATTATATTTGAATAAATTCATAATTCTTATCAATATCATTTCTATTGATAAGATAGTAGAGTCACACTTTTACCTTCCACAACATCCAACTGTTTATTTTCTTTTTTTTTTGTCGGTCTTGCATATCTGTGATAGGAAAAAAACAAGTTCAAATAGAACATGGTTCTTTTAACTAATGTTCTACTTGTAACAATTTTTAGTGTTGTTTTATCGAGATCCATTGTATCTAAAGATCCATTTTTTGGTCAACCGGAACAAATTCATTTATCTTATGGACGTAAGGCAAATTCTACACTCTCATACAGATTGTTTATTTTTTTAATAAATTTAGTCGATCCAACACTTATGATGGTTACATGGGTAACATTAAATGAAGTCAATGATTCAATTGTTGAATATGGTCAACTTGATATGTTTGATAAACGAGCAACTGGTTCTGTAAGTATTTTTCAAGATAGTGGTTCTGAAAAACGACGTGAATATATACATCGTGTTGTTCTACATGATTTAATACCTGGTGAAAAATATTGTATGAAATAGAATTTTAGATTGCGAAATTAAATAAACGATTTTATTTTACTTCAATTTTAGTTTATCATTGTGGTAGTGATGAATATGGTTGGTCACCTTTATTTTGGTTTACAGCAATGCGTAATGATTCAGATTTTGTTGTTCGTATGGCTGTTTATGGTGATATGGGAAAAGATAATGCTCAATCAATGGCACGTCTTCAAGAAGAAACTCAATTAAATCATTTTGATCTTATTTTACATGTTGGTAAGTTTTTTTTTTTTTTCTACCGATTAAGTTTTTTTACTTATTATCTATTCAAGGTGATATGGCATATGATATGAATGATGATAATGCTCGTTTTGGTGATCAATATATGAATTCAATTCAATCAATTGCTGCTTACATTCCATATATGACTTGTCCAGGAAATCATGAAAATGCTTAGTAAGCAATTTTACTTGTTTATTTAAATAATATTGAACATTTTTTTTTTGTGTAGTAATTTTTCTCAATATGTTGCAAAATTTAGTATGCCATCATCATATAATACATATGGTGGTGATGCTAATCATTTTTATAGGTAATAGTTTTCTTTTTTTGTTTACGATTAATTTTGAATAGAATTTCATTTTTTTTAATTAGTTTTAATGTTGGTCCTGTACATGTAATTGGTTTTTCAACAGAATTTTATTATTATCTTGAATATGGTTTTGAACAGATTATTAATCAATATAAATGGATTGAAGAAGATTTAAAAGTAATAAAATAAGATTTAGAAGATTAGAAAGTTTTTTTTTTTTTGTTATTTATTTAGAAAGCTAATCAACCAGAAAATCGTGCTAAACAACCATGGATTATTACAATGGGTCATAGACCAATGTATTGTAGTAATAATAATGATGATGAATGTCTATATGCTGATGGATATATTTTCGTAAGTTTAAGTTTTTCTTGCATAAGGAATAATATATTGATGTTTGAAAATTATTTTATTTTATGTATAGCATTCAAAATATAAATCTATGTATGCTCCAGATCCAGTTGCGACAGGATATCTTATCTGACTTTAGCAGAATGTAAAAATTATTTTCGACTGTGCTGGTATAAAACAAAATTTTTTTTTCAATTGTGGGACGTTCCAGTCACCACTGAGTCTGACTGGATTAGAGTTCGAGACCAATCGGGTGCGCTTTAGATTGAACATGCATTCTATGTGTTCATGTACTAGTCTTTATTGATCCTTGTTCTATGACTGATAAACTCGTACATTGGAAGATAACAATATCAATATGGTATAGGAATATCAGTGAGACATTGGATCAGAAGGAATAGGGGACGCCATCTATTGTTACGCTACTAAGTGGTGATTGAGATTTTGCAAGTTACATATTTTCGTTAAGAAAAGGCTTTTGTGTTCGAGGAATCTGAATCTCTAGCTGGTTAACTGAATGAATACAACTATCAAATTTCGAGAAACCAATTAATAGTGCTAACTCTTTGACGTCGAAGTTGATACAGAATCGTTTATTGTTGAAAAACAAGCTTTTCCTAACGAAAATGTCAAACTCGTAAAGTTTCCATTATTAGTAACATAACAGT